ACTGCATATATCTTGTAATGTGCCAGGTTTCAAATTGGCATTTCTTCATTGTTGCGGGCACCCATGTAAACTGTAAAATGTGTGCATTTAGCATCATGTTTGAGGAAAATAGGACCCCAGAGTATGTGGAAATTATCCATATTTATAGAGTATAAGTCTCAAATATTCAAGGGAAAGTTAAAGAAGAAAAGAACTGAACATCCCAAAATACTTTTTAATACTTTCAAATCAATGTGCATTTGGAATATGGATATCTTTTCAGACCCCACCAGTACATATTTAGCCACATTGATAAAACTACTGAACAAACTCTAGGTTAGTACCGAAAATCTCATTTTATAGGCATAGAAGTATAAAGAGGCCATGTTATCTGTCAGTGATAAAACTGGTTTGTGGTTGGCCCAGGATTCAGACCTAAAGCTCCCATCATCTACTCCCACACACAGTCTGCTCCCATAAAAGTCTCACATCTCTTAAAATGAAACAGAACCTAAAGAATTTGAATGAGCAATATATTATGTACACAAATTAGTTTCCACAAACTGTCAACTAGTAAAACTAGTAAAGATGGTGAGTAGAAAGCTAGCTTTCCCCTCACACTGTTAGAACAACTTAAAAGTAGCTCACAAAACTGATTTTGACCTTTTGAAGATTCCACCATGTGCTTTTTGCTGAAAAAGAGGAAACCTTTCAAATCTACAACATAGATCTAAAAGTCACTTTTGTGCTTTAGAAACAAATAAAAAAATTCAAGTCCTTCCAGGAACTAGAACTAGAATGTACCACAACTGCAGTGCTGGAGAATCCATGGGGAACTTGGAATGCACATCGTTTACTGGATCCACCAAGAAGTATAATAATGTCATTCAGGCAGGCAACAAATATTTTCACTAGGCACCTCCTACATGCTGAAGACTAAGTGAACATAAAGTTTAAATCATGCATAGTCTTTGCCTTCAGGGAGCTTATAATCTTAATTAAATTACTCAAAACTTAATGGCATTAATGATGTCACTAAAATGTACATGAGGTAAAAGTCATCATTGCCAAGAAAAAGCAAGAAAAATCTAAAGCAAGTGTCAGCTTTTATGGGATGGAGAAGAAAACTAAGCACCACTTCACTTTTAGAACCAAGAAAAAACCCTCCAAATTGATTAAATAGCACTCACAAATACAGAGCATTTCAATGTAGTTGCTTAACATTTTTTTCCATATATATGTATACACATATATGTATATATATGAAATTTCTTCAATTAGCAAGCATTTATTTTTTCTCCTTCCAACCTCAAAGGAAAGAGAATATCTAAATGACCGGTATCAACAAGGAAGGAGAATTCACAACAAATGAATAAAGAATGTAATGAAAAAAATTTCACCCAACTATATTCCAATAAAAACAACAAATTAAATGAAATAATGAATACTCATGACAATCTAAAATCTTCAGATTAACGAGAATTTATGAAAATCTAAAATAATCAGATTAATGAAAATTTATACCAAATCTGAGCATTCACTTTCAAGTATTCCTATAGGAAGCACTATACTTGATAATTTTTTAAGATTTTTTTTTGCATTTTTCCTCTAGCATAATTATCCTCCCCCAGAAAAGAGCAATTTGTATTTTTATTCATAATTTGGGGGTGTAACATGCATTGGGTAAAACTCCCTGTCCTTTTCAGTTGGTCACGTGTATCCCCCTTTCAGTTCTCAATTGCAACAAAAAGAAAGCTCCCCCCTACACTCAGTAACTTCTCTACTGGGAAATTAATATTCAAGATGAACAATGAACTCATCACATGACCTGTGAACTTACCCGTTGCTAGGAGGCCTGTGAATACTCTGGATCATTTAAGATCTGGTAGTATGAGCTGAAAGATTAATCAGCAAGTTAGGACATCATGTCCAAGATTGAAAGTTTCAGAATTCTCTGCCTAACTGTCCTTCTGTGGGCTTCCATCAGGTTTATATATGCCTGTTTTAAGTTGTCAAGCTTAAAGGTAGCTTATCCTGAAGGTATTAAAAAAACAACTGACACTAAATGTCAGGGCTGTTTGCCATAAATCACCTTTCAAACTAGTCATTGTTAGAGAGGAAAAGGCTGCTTTAAATAGTGTGGTCTCATTATAAAGCTGTTTTAGGTAGTTAGTCTAAAATTTTTTGTTTTTATAAATAGGATCAAGTTCACAGATACACTATCAAATAAAAACCAAATTAAATTAGCATTTATCATGTACTCTCTGTACAAAGTCCTTGTATATCATACAGTCTAGCTTTATTACTACTACTATACTCTTCACAAAGTCTCTAGGGAGCTGCTATCCCCTAAAACAATCAATCCACAAACATTTCTTACACACCCAGTATGTGCTGAGCATCGGAGATACAATGACCAAAAAAAATAAGCCACAATTTTAAGAAATTCTTTCAGTCATTTTCTAGAAACCACCATTTTGTATAATGTTAAGGGAGACTTTTTTTTTGGGGGGGTTGTTTTTGTATACCACTGAAGAGTCTATTTGAATGCCAATCTTTTCAACAAAATTGAATCTGTCCATTAAAAAACTCTTTTTTTCTCAACAATGTAGCATTTAATATAAAAAAATGTGATGACAAATTAATAAACACAGAGAATAAAGAAATATGAAAAGCCTTCACATGTTTCCAAGCTGTTTTCTTCTGTATTTCATTTCATGTGACAAAGAATGTATTTGCATTCTTAGTCCCTGTAACTTTTATACAACAAGACTTCCTATAGGTTTCCTGAAAGGGAGAAAGATTCTTTCAAACAGTTCCTCCCAGAACTAACATTTGGAAAAGAAATGAAGAATCTCTAAAAGAAAAAAGCCCTTGCACAAAGAGGATACACTCACTCTCACTGTAGACCCATTAATTTTTAATCTCTCATACCACATTAACACCTGCTTTTTATTTAATAGGCCACAAATATAAATAAAAAGGAGTCTATTCACCTCTCCCCATTCCACATGGGTTATTTCCTCATCATCATTCATCAAATATTAAATATGAATCCTATTCCTTGTCTTCACTTCATATGGCTCTCTTGTCACCAGGAGAAAGCCAAAAAAGTAGCCTCTCTGATCCTTTAAAACACCCTGTAGGATATAGAACATATAGCACTAGCTACTTATTTTATAAAGCAAGCAAACACACCATACTAGGATCATTCTCAAGGAATCTCTTCTTAACAAATGAATATGAACAAAAGAGGGTTCCATAGGAATTAGTCTAAAACTAATAGAAGGACTTTGAGGTTTGTTAAGGGGGGGGGGGAAATATGGCTACAGATACTGCTGAGAGCTTGACACATGAAAGCAAAGGGGGAAAAGAGTTGGGCTGCCAATATATGAAGAAAATACCTGACTTGATGCAATAGAGAAAAATCTCTAGAACACAGCCACAGATGATAAATGTTTGTGGAAGTGGGGAGGAGCTTTTTTTATGAGGTTGGATTTATATTTCAATATGTTTCAAAATCTGATGCCACAATTCGGAATGAGAAGAGTATACCAATCATAAAATTATCTTCTCAATGCTAAGGGATGGCTCATGCTTGTCATTTCCTTTCAAAATTCTGGCTTTCCATGGAAGTGGTTACAGTCAAGGCAGCCTCCTTGCCAATATCCTCATGTCGGCAGGTTTTCAACGGAGAAATAGTAGTTTACTGTGTTAATAGCAGCATGTTGGCAAGACAGTTTAAAAGCATGCGAAAGTGATTCTAGCTAAAAGGACTTGCTTTTATTTTTAGGAGATAGTACAACTAGACTGTGACTGCTAACTACAAATTTAACTCAATAAACCCCAGGAAAGACTTAGGTTTGGAATGATGAATTGCATTCATTTCATTTTAGAAAAAGAAAGTGTCTCTCCTCAGATAAAACAGCCCTTAGTCCTTCCCAGATGGGGGGAAGAAAAACAACAACAAAACCCTGACACCAGATATCTCTCTATAAACCAGGGTGGTCACAACAACCAAGCAAAACAAAAGGTTTCTAGGATTTTCCCCCTTTGGCATTTTCCCAAGTATTCCATCACAGTGTCCTTAAATCTCAGGCCAAGGCCATTCAATCATATTTCAGTCATATTTCAGAAGGAGAACATCTTCAGAAATGCTTTTTAAAAAATGCCACTGCATTTAAAAGCAAGGCTTCCTTTCTGAAGCCTTCACTTTTTTTTGATCACTATTTGTCCTTACTGCCTGATGTGCAAATACATGCTAGAGCCTTCATTATTTCCACAGAGCCTAATTCAAAGCAATGTATGCTGAATACCCACATGAGTGCACTGAGATTTAATAACACACACAGACAATCACACTATAGAATATTTTTAATGAGCCCCAACATGGTTTTCTGTAATATAAACAAACATGTAGCTGAACCGTATGCAGTAACAGCATTCCATGGACTAACAGCATCTGCAATTACAGAGATGGAACCTTCCCCCCTCCCTCCCTCTCCCCTGCCCCCCCACAAGAAAAGAACATTCAGAAAGACCCACTAAGATAATTGGGCATAACGGAGAGAGGGAAAACTGGGACTGTGGGCAATATGAATTGAACCCTGATTCAGCAAGAGCAACGGGGACGTTGGCACCACGGGTTTCCAGCCACTTTATTTACCTTAGCTAAAAACCCAGATATTTCCTCTCCTCATTAATTTTAGTTGAGTAATAGCTTTTAAACCCCATATTGAGCCAACCTTGCTGGGAATTCTGCAGTGGTACAAAATGGTGGATATGTGCTAATTTTTTCCTGCTTTATTCATAATATATGTGTGTATATATATGAGTGTGTGTATGCATATACATACATATATAATAGATTCTAATATGCCCCCCTGCTCTTCTCATCAATCCAGCAGCACTGCTGCCACACACACACACACCACACACACACACACACACACACACACACACACACACACGCTCTACTTAAGCTGCTGCAATAACCAAGAGGAAAAAAGCATGTTACCAACCTGATGTCATGTAGCCCCGTGATGCCTGGGAGATAAAGGCTGGTGGGAAGCGTTTGTGCAAACGATAGTCCTTTTCACTGCGGGACCTCATGCGGTCCGAGGCCCGGTCAGAGAAATCGGAACTAGGCCAGGCTCGCCGTAAGGTTGTACTCCGGGTCTTCTTCATTTTGGAGGCGGGCTAACCTGCTACTGTCTCAATACTGCAGGAACCTGGGGGGAGCTGCAGTCTCGAGCCAGCGCGCGGCCGTCCCCTGGTTCATCAGGCTGCTGCAAGTCCAGCCTGGGTAGATTCTGCAAACATTTTCCCACCACCACCACCTCCACCTTCACCACCACCACCACCACCACCACCACCTCCTCTTCCTCCTCTTCCTCCTCCTCCTCTATAAAGCACACTGCGGGTCCGTTCCTTCCCACACACCCCCACCTCGAATGATCCAATTTTACACACGTCCCACAATGCATTACACTTCATTTGCAATCAGTCCAGCTTATAGCTTCCAGATTCATGTGGAGGAAAGGCACATTAGGAAGGCTTTCCCAGCCAAAAGGAGGAGGGGTGGGGGTTGGGGGTGTGGAGGAGAGGTTGGGGGGTTGGAGGAACCGAGATCTGCAGCGTGAAAAGCGATGGGGTCTCAGACAATAGCTCAATTCAGCAAAGAAGTGCTTAGCCAACTGTGAGCTGGGGGCACAAAAGACCCAAACAAATTGGGGAGGGGAGGTGGGAGAAGAAGAAAAGAAAAGAAAAAAAGGCCTTTGGTTTTGACCTGAGACAGGGCGCCCAGGAAGCTGCGCTCAGATGGGCTCTCCTCCCGCAAGAAGGAGCAAGGAGAAGGCTTTTCCGATGACAAGTCTCCAAGCTGTTTTTCCTTTCACCTATGGGAAGCTAGAGCCGCAATCAATGAAGCAAGCTGGATCCGGTCTCCACCGCAGTCAGTCGCGGGGGTGCTTCCTTCCAGCAGCCCCTGTCGCTCACTGGAGAGAATGTGTGTGTGCGTGCGCGTGCGGCTCCCTTACACACACACGCACACACAGGCTCTAGGCAGCAGCTGCGGGCAGTCCTGCTCCTGTGGAAGGAATCCACCCACCAGCAGAGAGAGAAGGTCGTCACCAGGACCCGAGCTCTTCCTGCATCCTTCCAGTGCGCTGGCGTTGGAGCTGCCTCTGCGTGTGCGCCGCGGGAACGCACAGGTTCCTCACATATTCGTGCATTTTTCTCCTACCTACAAGCTCCGGCGGTTCCAGGAGCCATGGCTGCCAAGCGATCCCAGGCTCCTGGCTGCTTTCAATGCCTCCAAAGTCAATGCCCCTCCTCAGCAGCTATTGCCCCTCTGCAGAAGAGTCCTGAAAGCCGTGAATGGCTACCGAAGGGCAGGAAACTCGGCAGCCACCCAGTCTCATGCTAATCAAGAAGCTGTCTAAAGTTAGAGCACCGATCCTGTCAAGCTTCACATTTTAATGGAAAACACCCTAGGGCTTCGCAAGGAAAAAAAAAAACCCTTGGCTGGTGCCCCAGCCTATAGTCAGCTCTTGTAAATTTACATATTTTTAGGATAGTCCAACCCCCTTCAAAAAGACTGGGGGCGGGAGGAAGGAGGAGAAAAAAGATCTTCCGTCTAGAAAGGAAATCTGCAGTTCACCTTCCCCACCTGCAGCAGATTCTAAAAGGGTCAACTCATCTGACAGCCGAAAATGCCAAGTCAAAACGTCCAGCCTATCTAGAACACGAGGTGGATGGAAATGGTCTCTTCTGCTAGTCCCCTCTTCTCTCTCTTGCCTCTCTCCTGGTAAGCCACTACCAACTGGCTAAGACCGCATTAAGGTCGGCCACCCCTTTGCAAATCAAGGCTGCGTGCAGCTGCTGCTGGTCTAACAGCCAATCATTAAAGGACAACAATGCACATGGTGAGGGAGGGGAGGAAAGAAAGGCAAGCTGATGCCTTCAGCTTGGATGCAGCCCAAGCAGCAGAGAGTTAATGCAGAATTAAAGGCGCATGGCCAGATTGCCAGCTAAATAGGAAGATTATTGCTGTTGCTGATTCTCCCCCTTTTACGCCTTCCCCACCCCACACACAAACACACAGCAAGCCTGCCTAGCTAAGAGCCAAAAATGCTTTCATATCGCTAAAAGCGAATATTTACAATCTGATTTTCAGTATCAATATATTCTTCCCTCCTCTCCCTCCCCACTACTTCATTTCACTTATTTAGTAATTCTTCTTAGCACCGCTGATATATATGTGTGTGTGCATATATGTATGTATATGTGTGTGTATGTATAAATATGTGTGTGCATATATATATATGTATATATGCTTTCAGAGACAGGGTCTTCCTGTGAGCTGTCCTTCTTAGCTTGATAGAGCGTGGTGGATTGATTCTGAGCAGCTGACAATCAAGAAGGCTAAGATTCAGAACACTCTAACACAATTCCTAGCTATTTCAAGGCTGAAATGCCTCCGTAAGCCTCAAAGCACACTAGAAGTTAGGAGATGATTTTCAGCCCCAGACATGCTGTAGAAGCTACGGACAAGGCCCTCTTATTCTGTCACTCACCTATCCCCCTTGTAAAATGGGAACAACCTCATTAGCCTCTGAGCAGGGATGTCGGGAAGAGTAACCAATAAAAACATAATGATAAAACACTTGGCTAGCTCCTGCAAGGAAATAATATTTTGGCCAGTGACGTAGTATTATTAAACATAATTCAAAAAGCTAGCTTTCTCTGACATTGTGGAACAAGTTAGGAAAAAGAGATGCCCCCAAAGTCCTTGATGTAGATGATTCCTGAAAACAGAAAATGGCAAAAGACCAAAGGCACTAACTACATGACAAAAGTATGAGTGGTGTATAGCCAAAAAGATAGACTGTGAATCACCTTTGACCCTGAAATACCACTACTAGACTATACTCCAAAGAGATCACAAAGACCCATATGTACAGAAATATTTCTAGCGGCTTTTTTTTATAGAGGCAAAGACCTGGAAACTAAGGTTCTTATCAAATGGGAGGTGGTTGAACCCATTATGGTACACAAATATAATGGAATGCTGTGAAAGGGATGGTTTCAGAGAAACCTTGGAAGACTTGTGTGAACTGATACAGAGTGAAGTGACCTGAACCAGGACAACAATTTATACTATAACAACATCATAAAGTCAAATAACTTTGAATGACTTAAGATCTCTGATCAATGCTATGACCAACAATCATTATAGAGGACCAAGGCTGCATCCACCTCCTAACAAAAAGGTGATGGATATAAGATGCAGAATCAGCCATTTTTAATATGGCCAATACAAAAATCTGTTTTATTTGACTACATGTATTTGTTACAAGGTATTTTCCAGTCCTGCCCCTTGGTGGAAGAAGATGGGAGGAAAAGAAAATAAATGCTTAATAAATGAAAAAAATAAAAAATGAAATTTGAAAAAAATTATATGGTTAGTTGTACTTCTGGCCTCCAAAATATTTTTGTATTTACAGTCTTTCTTATAGGATCACAGATTTAGAGCTGAAAGGGACCTTGAAGTTGCCTTGAAGTTCAGCCTCCTCCTTTTATAGAACAGAAAACTGAAGCATGGATAAGCTTAAGTAATTTGCCCAGGGTCACATGGCTAGGGAAATTATCTCAGGCAGGATCTGAAACCAGGTCTTCATGACTAGTATCATGGCTAATCCATGATATTATACTGTCTCCATATATGGTGGATAGCCAAGGCCCACAAGTTGGCAAATATTGATTGATTGGTACATGAGCTTCAATCACCTAACCAGGTGATTGGGCAGACATGGGTACATCTACATGGTATACCCCAAATCTTAAGAACATTTCTGCTGGTAGTATACAACCCCATATTTTTCTTCACAACTTTACTGAAACAAGACTAGAAACATGGTATCATAGAAAGAGACTGGAGTCATGAGGATCTGAGTTCAAATCTCAGGTCTGCTGCTTATTAACTGTCACTATAAGTAAGTCTCTGTCACCTGATAAGCATCAAGATTCCCCATTTGAAGTATAAGGATAATACTTCTATTACCTATCTCACAGGGCTATTGTGAGAAAAATATGTCATAACCATTACAGTACCTTATAAAGAAAAACTACTGTTGTGACTTCATCTCACTGGCTCACAGATCTAGAACTGAAAGTGCCCTTAGAGATCACCGAATCAAACTCGTTTATTTTGCAAGTGAGAATACTAAGGCCCAGCCAGGTCCTCTGGCTTCAAAACCATCATTCTTTGCATTGCCCTAGGAACTGTTTCTTTGACCATAAAATGTGGTGGTTGGATTAGATGGTGTGTAAAGTCCTTTCCAGCTCAAATGCTTTGCAAGTCTCACATTTGTCCAGAACATTTTCTCACCATTTGCAATCAAGAGCCAACAGCTGCCACTGAATTCTTCTACTGAGATATGAGCGTGATAAATGCCGATGTCTTGGTTCAACACAGAAAAGTGAAATAAGGAAGCTATTATGTCCCTTGGGAGAAGAAAGGATGGTACCAGATTACCTGGTATTAATCTCCAGACCGAATCTAAGCTATCCAAGCTTTATTTTCCATGGTGAAAAACTTATCTATTATGACATAAAAGGAGGTGTATACTATAGCAAAAGCAAGGAAAAAGCAATAAACAAACATTGGTATCCATTCACATCCAGAGTCCTAAAGCAGGCTTCTTATCTTAGGGTCAATGAACTTTTTTTTTTCTGGAGGCAATCAGATTTAAGTGAGCTAGCTAGGGTCATACAGCTAATAAGTGTCTGTGGTCAAATTTGAACTCAGGCATCTTCACTCAAGGTCTGGTGCTCTATTCCCTTCTGCCACCTAGCCACCCCTGGTCAAAAAACTTTTAAAAAAATATTCTGGTAACTATATTTCACCATAAATGGTTTCTTGTGTAATCTTACCTATTTTACTTTGTCTTGTCACTGGACTTCAATGACTGGAAGAGAGAGGGAGGCTGACAACTTTGAGCAACTCTGCCTCACTTATATTCAATTCACGAGCAAGTCAAGACATCACCCTGCAATGTCATGGGTCCTTTTCAAATATGAAGGCCAAACAACAATGACAACAACAACAACAATGACAATAACAACCTAATTAATTTTATGGATTTAAAAATATTATTCTGAGTTGTCCACAGGCTTCACCAGAATGCCAAAGGGGTTCACAACAACAAGGTGAAGGACCCCTAGTTCTAGAAGAGGGCCCCTCTGGGGAAGACATTTGGGGGGACCGGGACAAGAGAACCCAGGATGAGAAGGCAGGGGTGGATGGCAAACTGTACTGTTGGGGAAAGAATCCACACTAATAAGATCACAGATCCATCCAGGTCTCAAAGCAAGTCACAGATGGTGTACACATGCATGTTCTGGAGAGTCTTCACCAGGGTTACTAAGTCATTCAAGAAAATTCAATTCAGTAAACATTTATTAAGCACCCAGTATATGCTAAGCATGGGTAATGCAAATAGGGAAAAGAAAGTTCCTGATGTGAAGAAGTTTGTAACAGAATGAGAGAAGACACGCAAAAGGAATCTGCAGTGACTGGGAGGGAAGGGGAGAGAAAGAAGGTGCCCCACCATGGGGGTGCACGATGATCATGGAGGCCAATCCAAGGAGATGGCATAGATGGTGGTAAATGACCCAGCTGTTAACCCTCTTTAAATGGAGACTCCGGGAGGAGCTTTTTGCTCCACTCTCTAGCCCTCAACCAGAAGGGATGAGGCTGCTTACTAATGAGATACAAGTACCAGGGAATGATGAGTTTCCTGGTCATGAGCCTTTTCTAGGAGCATGATGATGGTAGAGGTGAATCTAAGAAGCTGAGCTTTACTGTAGTCCCAAAAAATCAATGCTACGTGGTTCCTCCAGACAATTGTAATAATAGCTAGCATATGACACTTTAAGATTTGCAAAGGGTTTTACAGATTTTATTTGATCCTCACAACAACCTGGGGAGGTGGGTGCTGTTATTATCCCCATTTTACAGATGAGGAAACTGAGGCATAGTGACCTGCCCAGGGTCATACAACTAATAAGTGTCTGAGGCTAGATTAGAATTCGGATCTTCTTGGCTCCAGGCCCAGCAATCTATCCACCGTGACACCTAGCTACCTCTATGAAGTAGCATCAGAGATTTAGAACTCCAAAGGACCTCATAGGCCATCTGGCCTAAATCCTTCCCCCCCACCCCAATTTTCCTGGTGAGGAAAATGAGGATTCAGAAATGGAGTGATCTGTCCAAGGTCACACAGGTACTAAGCTAGTTGTTGTGGGGAATAAATAGGAACAAATCCCAACAGCAGCTATGTGGTGAAATACAAGAAGAGGACCATCCATAGAGCCAGAAGAAAGGCCCACACCCTTTGGGAGCTCAGGGAATGCTGGGAAACCTGGATAGACAGATGACTGGCCAATAAGAAGTAAACATATTTACTTATGTAAGTAAATAAGTAAATAGGGCGGCTCTTTGTGTGAACGAAAGGGAACAAGATAAATATGATTCTAAGGGACAATGTAATGTCTCAAATAACAGTAGGCCCTAAAAGCAGCTCCAGTATCAGCGTAGGGAAAGACTTCCCAGCTATACATTGTGGAAAAGGCCTGTTTGTCCACTAGTCTGTGGCCACACCTGCATACACAGAGAACAATCCTCAACACTATAAACATCTTTGAATGCAGAGGATAGATTCAGACTCAAACCTGCAGCAGTGCAGAGGATTCAATTTGACAGATATTTAACAGGCACCAAGAATACAAAAACAGAAATAGAACAGCCCCTGTCTTCAAGGAGTTTATATTCTACTGAGGGATAAGATACAATGGCATACACAGAGAAGTCAATACAAACTAATGCAAAGCAAGCGCAAAGTAATTTGGGAGGAAAAACAAATAATGTGGGAGGAGAATCAGAAATGGCCTCCTGTAAGAAGCTCATGAGAGCTGACCCAAGATGCTGAGGAAGGAGAACATTTCAGGGATGAAAGACAACCCATTCAATGAAAAATATGTCCTATATGGTGAAGAGCATGTAGGCTAATCTGGTGAAGTGGAGATCTATACGCTTTCGTCAGCCTGGAAACAGAAGCTAAAGCCATCTTATTCAGGGCTTTAAAGGCCAAACAGAGCAATTCAGATTTTATTCTAGAGGCAATAATTGGGAGTCATGGAAGTTTCTTTAAGAGGAGAATAATATGGTCAGAAAAAACTCTCTTTAGGATAATCCACTGGGCACTGTGCAGTCAGTCAATAAATATTTATTAGCTACTATGTGCCAGGCACTGTGCTAAGTGCTGGGAATACAAAGAAAAAGAAAAGATAGTCCCTGCCCTCAAGGAGATTATGATCTAATGGGGGAGACAACATGCAAGCAGTAATGTACAAACAAGCTATATACAAGATAAATTGAAATAATCAACAAAGAACAGATTGGAGAGGAGAGAGATGGATGCAGGGAGACCAAACATTTCACAACATTGTAGTATCATTAAAAAAAAAAAGATCCAAGATAAATTTTAACAGATATTAAAAAATGAAAACAAAATTCAACAATATTAAGATCTACCTGGATTCCATATTATAAGACAGAAGCATCTTTAAATTCTCAAGAGCAATGCCCATAGAGGAGAAGGTCTTACCAGCCAGACAGTCTTTGAATAAGGGCCCAGTGATGAACTGGGTGTGTCTTCCCCAGGACCAGCCTAGCTAAATTCAGAAAGGTTATAACCAGAGGTGGCTACACAGTTCAACTCTTATAGACATCAGTATGGAAGGGCCGGAAGAATTACTCACACTGAGGAAATCATGATCCATTGAAATATTAAAGAATTGTTTTTTGCATTGATAAAAATCTCACCGTTTAACCAAATGAAAATTTTGTTTTGATTGAAGTTGATTTTTTTGAACTTTATTGTCAGGGAGTTCCTACATGTTTTAAAAATAAATCCCATTAGGAAGTTTTTTCTTTTAATTTTTCTCTTTAATCCTAAGTCAAGACTTAATCAGCACCTGGTCAAATCCCATATGTCAAGCTGCAGATGGAGCATTCTTTTAAAGGATCTAGTCTGGTTAAATTATTTACACATGAGTATAAAGAAAAAAATTAATTCGTCCTTCTGTGGGCGTCCTGGGTACAAAAGAAGAGAAGGCCTCACCTTCTCTATGTAACTATGTAAACTGGCCAAGGCTTGGCTTCTTTCCTCCTACTTGAGGCTATTCAGGGAATTTATCTCAATGCATCCCTCTGTGTTGGTGTAGTCACTTCTGTTGTAACATCACAACCCAGAGGGCAATTTCCTAAATGCTTTGTTAGGTAAAGAAGCCTTACCCACACCCTTTCCGAAGACGTGTAACTCTCTGAAATGGAAATATTCCATAAACCAAGCTTTTAATTGAGGTACAAGTGGATGAGGTGGCAAAGGGGTATGAAAGGAGGATTTCTTACAAAATATATATCCTTTTTTTTATGAAGAAGAAAAAAAGGGTGATAATCAAGGGATAATATAGAATTGAAGTTATCTGGAGAAGCTTAAGTTCTAAAGCTGCCAGGATTTTTCCCAGTTCCCTTCTGAGGTAGTTGTTAGGAAGCTTCTGCAGTGCTCTGATTAGACAGAGAGCACGCTGGGAAATACAGGTCCTAGTTATTTTCCTACCGAGACCTCGAATGCGGAGGGCAAGGACATCTTTTGGGGAAGATGCTTACTTGTCTTACAATGGCCCCAATGTGTATCCTAGCATGGTACTTTAATCCATCTTCTCCAATGAATGCTCCATCTTTCCTCACCTCATTTCCTCTCAGTCAATGCTGGTCTCTGTGATAATCCAAGAGACAAGAAGCAAAGAGATAAGCAATTTTTGCCCAAACAGTCAATTTAATCCTGAGCTCCAACCCCAGGATTACCTCAAATGAATCTGCCACAGAAGCCTCTACTTGGATGAGATGAATGAGAATGGATGAGAGAATAGAAAACAGAACCATAGGAAAGGATAGGATGTCTCTTCTGCCCTTCCCTATCAACAGTCCTTTCATACCACATGGGGGACATCCTTTTCATTCAATTGTTAAACTAGGTAAACTCCATAAGGGCAAGGAATATTTCTTATCCATTCTTTAAAAAATTATTTCCCTTTGTACATAATGTATATATAATAAATGACAGTTCAATTTAATTGAACTAAGTATGAGAGTGCTTCCCACAGTCAATAAGGGGCTCTTTACCACCTTTAAGATAAAGTCAAAATTCCTCCACAATCTGTCTGCACTCTATCAAATCTTATGTTTCATCATTCCTCAACACAAAACCAACACAAAGCCTCAACACAAAACCTGCCCTCCAACCAACATGGCTACCTCCATGCCCTCCAAACACACTGTGTTCATTGTAGACTCCAAGTCTGTGCTCCTATTATCTATCCCCTCCTCCCCTCTACTTGGAATACTTTCCCCACTCTTGGCTACCCATCCAAATTCTGCCCAACCTTGAATATCAAGCTCATGGCCTTCCTCCACCATGAAGCTTTGCCTTATTTACCTTTTCTCTGAACTCTGAGCATAATTTTGATCCACATCACCATGTCACTCATTGCAGCATTTCAGAATCAGAGTTGAAGGAAGCCTCTAGTTACATGCTATTTAAGTTTATGGAGGGTAGAAACTGACCATAGCATACTTCTTTTGCAATCTCCTTAGCACTTAGTACCAATCCACTATGCATAAGGTAGATGATAAATAGATACTTATGTACTGATAGCTTCAAGCCAAACAAAGGACCCAGTATATTTTTACCTACTATCCATTACATTGATAAACAGCCTGGCCTGGGTTCAAATCTCATCTCTGATATATATGGGCCGGGTGACCTTGGCCAAGTTTAACTAGATAATTATATAAGTTGCAGAAAAGGTGCCTGCCTGTAATTGGTAGAGGGTGTTTCCCCACTCTGGGAGGCAACTAGGTGGCTCAGTTGATAAAATACTGGGTCAAGGGTCAGAACAGCCTGAGTTCAAATCTAGTCTCAGACACTAGCTATGTGAACTTGGGCAAATCACTCAAACGCTTTCTCCCTCAGTTTCCCCATCTGTAAAATGGGCATGATAATAGCACCTATATCCCAGGGTTATTGTGAGGATCAAACAAGATATTTGTAAAGCATGTAGGAGGAGTTAGTAAATGCTTGTTTTCTTCCTTCCTTATAGTGATAAAATCACAGGCCCAGTCCTTATCCCTATCCCAGTCATAACTGACAAGAAAGAGCTATTGTAATTAAATACCTCAAGCTATATCTGTACATAGGGTACATGTTATCCATCACATGTAGATTTTGGGCAAGTAGTTAGATTTGGAGAAAATTCAATTACATCCTTTGTTGTTATTGCATGAATTTCATTCATTCATTTTTTTTTTAGGCAACTGGGGTTAAGTGACTTGCCCAGGGTCACACAGCTAGTAAGTGTCAAGTGTTTGGTCTGAGGCTGGATTTGAACTCAGGTCCTCCTGACTTCAGGGCCAGTGCTTTATTCTCTGTGCCACCTAGCTGCCCCCATTCATTCATTTTAAAAGGTACAGAGCTCATCGAAATCACCATTCTTGCCCCCAAAATCCAAAAGTTACATTAGGAGTACATGTGTGAGCTTGTATGTACATTCAAAATGGAAACGAACTTAATTTCACTAATTTAAAGAGACCTTTTCCGTAGCTTTTCTGTAAGGGGTCCATGACACTTAAGGAGTTAACCTCAGACTAATCAATCTCTAAAGTTTTCTTTTCTTGGTTCTGTTTTGCAGGTCACCTCAGAATGGCTTCCCAAGCCAACAAAAAACCACAGTATGACACAGATGGATTTTAAAGGATGGATCTTTTTTCTCCCTCCAACATGTGGTTTCCTGTAATTTAAGGAAATGGTATACATTAACAATTAAAATCATATATCAAAAAAGAAGTAAATACTCAAAGTTTCCTGATTTATCAGATTACATAAACTTTTTTTTTAAGGCTCCAGATATTTAAATTCCAGACTCCATTTTATTTGAAGAAGAAATAACAGTTTAACTCTCTCAGAACTGTATAGTTTATGAGTAGATACTCTAAGTCCTGGGTGCCCCTACACTTTTCTTTCTGGCCCCTAATATTCTCAGCACATTATTACTCTCATACTATATACACTACATTCTTCCTGCTTGTACATATTTATATATTTTTTTCTTTTTTCTTTTTTGACCAGCTAGAATTTCATGGATAGAGAGAATCCCAGTGAAGGATTTGCCCTACACCAAGATAGATCAGCACTTTCTCAGCAATGCATAGCCCTAGTTGCCACTGAGAGATTGAGTTAACTTGACCAGGGTCACACAGTCTGTATGAATCATAGGAAGGACTAGAACCCAGGTCTTCCTGACTCTGAGACCATCTCTCTGTCCATTCTGCTGGATGCTTTCACGTTTTAGTGTCCTGAAATTAGAAAAGATAAAGAACTGTACCACATTGGATAGTACCACTTGGTGCAAGCAGCAATGAGGACCCAGCTTTCTCACCTTCCCAACAGTCTGGGTCCTTAGCAACTCCTGAAATGTTTCAACTAGAGCTTGAGGTCCATAAAAGAAAAATAAGGGTATGAGGGCATGGGGCCGCTGGGTACAAAGGGCCTCAGTCTGCATTACGTATACCTAAGAAAGTACCTGGATAGGTATGTTCAGCTCCCTCTTGGAGTCTTTGCAGAGGGTATTTCAAGATCTTTTTGTAGACTCATATCAATGTCCTACAGCATGTAGGTTGCTCCTTCCTTTCATTTTTTTCTTAAACTTGATAGCCGAAAAATTTGTTGGACCTGGAAATGGTGGAGCCCTGATGTTATAAATATACATTTAAAAATTTTAATTATCATAAATTTTTATTTGTGTTATAAAATTTAAAACTACAAATTTCATCATTTAAAAATTATTTTAAAGTCACATTTTGATGGGAGACTGGACCTGTGATTTGATAACTGTAGGTAAGGATTTCCCAGTAAGGAAACACTCCTTTATCACTCATTCTGCAAGTTATGGTCTTAGAGAGTTGCCTGGGACATTGAGAAATTAAATGACTTGTCCTGGGCCACACAGCTAAAATACAGGATTATAAGATCACAGAGCTAGAACTTGGAGGTACCTCAAAGATTATCTGGTTCCGTGTCCTTCTTTATCAATAAGGAAATTGAGGGGAGCCTCAAGTGATTGGCCCACTGCACTAGAGGTAGCAAGGTAGCACAATGGATAAAACACTGGGCCTGGACTTGGAAAGACCTGAGTTCAAATCCAGCCTCAGACACTTTACTAGCTATGTGACCCTGGGCAAGTCATTTAAACTTTGTTTACCTCAGTTTCCTCATGTGTAAAATATTGATGATAATAATAGCACCTACCTCTCAGGGCTATTGTGAAGATCAAATGAGGTAATATCTGTAAAGTGCTTGGCACAGTGCCTGGCACCTAATAAGTATTATACAAATGTTAGCTGCTGTTGTTTCATTTTTTGTTAATTTTTTTAATTTTTAGCATTTTTTATTATTTTAGCATATTTTTAGCATTTTTATTGTTATTATTTATTGCTACCATGCTGAAGTTTTGAAGAATCCTACCCAAGAGTTCAGCACTATTTTGAAAGTGAGACCAATGAATTTCAATAGAGGGAAGAAGAAGAAGAATTAGGGCACTTATGAAGCTAATGAGATGAAGAAAATTCACAGTAATCATTTTAAGCTTTTCTTCTATTCTTCCCACGCAGAAGTCCTTCTACATCCTCCTTACCACAAAATCAACTCAACAGCTGACTCATAGTTTTATAAAGCACTTCTGTAATGATCTTGTTGCAGCCTCACAACAAACCCTGTAAGATAAATCCTACAAGTTTTGTTATCCCCATTTTACAAATGGGGAAACTGAGGCCAAAACCAAGACCTTCAAGGAAAGAATGGCTAAAATAGTGAAGTCCTGAAGACCTATTGATGGTATTTGAACAAAAAAGATATGACTTAAATGAGAAAGATACCTTTTCTGTAACCCTATTCACTATTTTTTAATAAATAGGCACAAGAAGTAACTATGTATTAAGACAAATATTTTTGACTCCAAGAATACAGGCTGTCCCAAAGTTTTAGTAGAGTTTTAAGCTGTTAAAGCTTAAATACCTTTAATTAAAGCTTTAATAGCTCAAATGTTTTTGGACTTTTGGGACAACCTGCATAAAATCCAGAGTAACTAGCATTCATCAATCAATCAATAAACTTTTATTAAGCACCCTAAGCTAAGTAGGTGCTAGGGATATTTCTTGCCCTCAAGAAACTTGCAATCTAATGGAGGAGACAACAAGCAAACAAAAATGTACAAAGCAAGCTACGTACAGGATAAATAAGAAATAATTAAAAGAGGAAAGTCAATGGAATTAGGAGGGGAGCTTTCATTCACCACTGCCTTTGGGGGATGGGATGGGAAGTACAATCCTGAAGAAGCCTTCTGCTCACCCATATCCTCTACCTTGCCCTTGACCCAGGCCTAGGAGGAAGAGGTCCATGGGAAGAGGGGGGAGGGAGTGCATGGACAACAGTAGTGAGGAAGCCATGCAGAGTCTGGACATTTTGGATCTGATCAAGATGCAGGCTATAAACTAAAGTTGACTGTCCTTACTTAATAATCTGCCTACAATTAGGTTCACCTGCCACCTGCTCTCTTCTGGGACTTGAAAAGTGAAGGGGAAGCAGTGATACCACCACTGAGCCTCTATTTCAGAAAAGATCAAAGAAAGGGAAAATGGACCTATACATACCAAAACATAGCTATTTTTGAAGTGACAAAAACTGGAAACAAAGGGGGCCCATCAACTAGAGAATGGCGCAACAAATTACAGCATATGAATGTAATGGAATACTATCTCTCCATAAGAAATTACAGAATGGACAGTTCCAAGGAAACCTTGGAAGACCTGTATGAAATGCTCCAGAGTTGCATGAAAACCCAGAAAATAAAGACAAACAACTTTGAAAGACTTAAAAAAAATCTGATCAATGCAATGACCAACTTTAACTCCAGAGGAAAAATTATGAAAACAAGCTACTCACCTCCTGATGGAGAGGTGATGGATTCAAAATACAGAATGAGACATAAGTACATTTTTGGACATGGTCAGTGTAGGACTTTTATTTTCACTTTAGCATGCGTATTTGTAACAAGTGTTTTCTTCTCTTTTTCTCAATGGGGGCAGGAGGTAGGAGAAAGTATAGCAATAAAGTTCTCTCAAAAATGAGACAAGAACACAAGGAAGTGCAGAAGGACTTACAGACAAATAAGACAACTTTGAAGGCTAAAATATTTAATTTATTATATGCCTTAAGAGAAAAGCAACCTCTATATGATGGAGATTAACAGTTTTATGTATAATCCTCTCCTATTCTATAATGTACGTAGAAATGCTAGTTTGATCTGGTTTTTGTTAAACTTGCAATAAAAATAAAGATGGAAAAATAAAATGAAGGTAAGAAAAGCGTGCTAGCTGCTTCTGAGTAAAAGGAAACAGAAAAATATATTTGGAAAAAAGAGAAGAAAGGAAAGAGCAAGGAAAAGGGGTGAAGTTTAATCCAGAGAAAAAGAAAACACTAGAGTTATATGGTTTCTTCTCCCCAGACTTCCCAGCTTGAATTCCAGGACCAAGTCTTCTACCCAGACAAGAGATCAAGTTGCCATTTGTCTGAAAAATTAAAATCCCCATCAGCTGTGAAAACATTGATTTGTCTTTAAATGCTATAAAATTTCTATGTTATGTCATGTCTATCACAGTAGTGTCCTCTCAAACCACTAGACCTATTTCTAGCTCAGCCACCTCTGAGGGGAGAAATCATGTGCAACAGGGGCTCCACCTTCCTCATCACCAACAATAAGTGATGACCAAATGCTTCCAATAGGCAGACAGACACAGGATTCCTGGGTATGTCAGCACCTCCCAGACCACTGGTCCTGCTTCCAACCTCATACTCATCACACAGGGAGGTGACTCCTGTGGAGAAGGGGCCAGCCATCCCCACCAATTGCCAACCAACTGCCACGTACAATGCAGGCAAGCCAGCCCAGCTGAAGCACTAAGGCACCTTGAGAGAGAGATAGGAGGTCCCATGTGCCAGCCAAGTTGGACCACCATTCCCATCCTGATCACCATCTCCTCTCAGGCACTGCTGGAGACAGCCCAGGATCCTGAAACCAAGAACCTACAGTGATGCTTCCAGTCCATCACCTTGAATACCTTTCCTTGTGGAGATGCAGCCTGGCAACTGGTCCTGCAGGTGCCTCAGCCACAGCTACTGAAGACCCAGAAAGAAAGTCCTTGACACCAAAGTTCTTGGCATTGTCAAATGATTCAACATCAGTGGAAATAACATGAAATAAGAGACATTACCATCTGCTTTGCTACTGTGCTGTAAGGATCATGGGACTCTTCCACCTTATCTGCAGCTAAAAACTTCTACATGTTGCAATAGAATATGAGCTCCTTGAGAGTAGGAAGTCTTATTTTTCTATTTGTATGCTCAGCACTTAGCAGTCCACAATGACTATTTGCAATGCTAAGTGCTTAATAAATATTTCATTCACTCATTCATTCATTCGTTCATTCATATCCCCAGTCAATTATTAAGCATTTTTATTTTTTTAAAAACCACATAAGTACTTTATGATGCTGTCATATGTCTATCTTTCCATTTTGCTAGGCACAAAGCAGGCATCAGTATTCCTTTATTGTTCTTTAAGAATGTGAACTCTACATCTAAGTAATCAAGTTTGATGTATCTTAGATCAAGAAGTTGTTCCTCACATCACTCTACAATAAGACCATTTTCTCAATTCCCAAACAGATGATTATAAAAGTTCACATTTTTAAAAAAAGGAAATCT